CATTAGCTTGTTAGCACTGAGATTTTTGACCTAAATTTTTGATTATATTATATTAATGATAATAATAAATGATGATTTATTAGCCTGTCAGTCCATTTGACAGTTTTCGGTTAGATAACGTGTCTTGGATTGAATTACAGAATGCACCTTTAATTTCTAAGCCAACTAGTGCACTGTATTTGATTCTAATACAATTTGATGATGTTATTTTTCAAACAGGTTTTAATTTAATTCAGTTTTATTTATATAGCCTAGTGCCTGAAAACCCAATCAGACGATCCCTTATGAGCAGGATTTGGCGAAAGCGGGAAGGAAAAAAATCCCTTTTAAAAGGAAGAACCCACTGTCAGAGCCAGGCTCAGGGAGATTCAGCCATCTGTCACAAAGATAAAAGGAGAGTAACTTAATGCCTTTATCAAAATATCTGATTTTAAATAAACACTTATATCAGACACCTTTAATCTCCTCCCTTGCAGCAACACCAAACAGCAGCACACTTATAACTGCACTACATCTTTCCATATATAAATATGTATTCTTCCAATTCATTGTAGTGTGAAGAAATATTTTTAAAAAACCCAAACAAACATATAAATACAATATTCATCTGCAAAAATAATGTCTTTTACTTGGATCTATTATCTTTTTTAACCTGTTCCATCTGTGTCATTAAAAATTCACAGAAAACCGAGATACCATAAAACAGTAGAGCTCCTGGTTGCAATTAAAATGTAATAGACAAAACTGGAGAGATGAATGTTTAGATTATTTTTTATCAGCAGAGCTGCTCCTCCTCTGATAAATTCCTGTGCAGGTTCGCAGGTCTACTCAGATCATCGCCAACCTCGTCTTCTGTAGTGAATAAAACATGCCACTGCTTTCACTGAGGTCTGAATTGTGTCCTTTTCTGCGGAAGCAGCTTGTAAGGAAGGTTAACCTCAATGTAAAAAGAAAAGAAAAGAAAGAAGCTTGTGGAAGAAGGTCGCATCAGGAGAGGCTGAACTGCTATCTTATTAAAGATACAGCAAGAAGATAATGCAGGTTTTATTGATCCACTCCAAACTAACACAAATCATACACAGTTGTTGAGATGTGCAAGACAGCAAGCACAGGGACCAGACGTCACTCTTTGTTTCAGGTAACCCGTACAGATTTGGCATTGCAGTTGTCGGGTATGCTTGTTTTTGCAAGGTTTTGACTCTAGTAGTAGTAGAGCAGTATCCATGCAGATTACTTACAACAAAAATCAACTACCACAGAGATGTAATGAACCTTTAGATGGGTTTTGTTACATGTGGTATAAAACTAACACAGAATTCCATAAAAAGAACATCATACCAGCAGTAAAACACAGTGGTGGCCGTGTGACGGTCTGGGGCTGCTTTGTTGTTTCAGGGCCTGGGCGACTCTCTGTAACTGATGGAAACATGAATTTTGCTGTCTACCAGAAAACTCTGAAGGAGAATGTCTGCTCATCAGTTCATGCCCTGAAGCTCAAGCACACATGGATTATGTAGCAGGACAATGATCTGAAACACACCCAAAAGTCCATGGAATGGCTTGAAAAAACAAAAAGGTTTTGGAACGGCCTAGTCAAAGTCCAGACTTAAGTCCAGTTGAGATGCTTTGACATGACTTTAACCTCCTAGGACCTGGTGTCCACATATGTGGACATCACATTTTCGGATGTCTAGACCAAAATACTCAATTTTGCTCTACAAGGGCCTGATATCCACTTACGAGGACATTATACTGCCACTTTTCTATCGAATTTTTAAATAAATATCCTCATATGTGGATCTAATTTTTGTCAGAAAAAAAAATCAGGTAAAAAATCTGGAAATTCTTTGTTTTTACATTCATCGGGTCCCAATATGCCCAAATATCAAAGGGAAATTAAAAATGCATGCCATGGAAGTGTTCGGGTCTTAGGAGGACAGGTCGTTCATTCTTGAAAACACTCCAGTGTGGTGGGCCAAAATTCCTCCACAGTGACATGAAAGACTGAGGGTGGGTTTAGTGATACTTTTTCACATAGGCTAAGGTAGGTTTGGCTTTCTTCCCTGTAGTAATTGAAATATTAATTTAAAAACTTTTGTATTTACTCAGTTTATATTGGTCTAATATTAAACTTTGTTTGATGATCTGAAACATACATGTGTGAAAAATATGCAAAAAGCTAAGAAATCAAGAAGGTGACAAATACTTTCCCACAGATATGTAGCGATGTACTTTAAGTATTCTTAAGATTATTAAAGCCGTGCCACAAGACTCTTTTAGGAGGAGGACACTGTCACATCTCATCCAAATCTAGTCAAACATACAATACAGTTGCTTAGTTCAGATGAGGGATTGTTAAAGGTGCTAGACCAGAGAAGAGAGCCCTACATTCTTACATGGTGCTTATGTTCACACCCTTCAGTAAAACCTTTGCTAGGCAAACAGCTGTACCATTCTTTCAAATAAAGTCACATAATGCTTGAGATTTTTAAACCTCCCCTTTCTTTTGAGAATTTGTAAACATACTCAGGAATGTAACTTGTAATTGTTTTTTATTACGTGCAGTCGCTTTTCACTGTATATACAAAATGTGCATTTGCCGTGTCTATTTGTGAAATTCCCTGTAGGTCCAACATTAAGAGTCCACATGAAAACCCTTGTAGTTGATGTGGTATGAGTTCAGCTTGGCACTACACATTAACAGAGAGAATTTTTAACATGCTCCTCTGAGAATTGTTCCTTGAACTGGAAGCCCCTGAAGAAAGGTAAAGCGCAGCAGTGCAGACTGTCAGTGAATAAGTGAGCTGAGCCTCTCTTTGCCATCACACAGAAGAAAAAGAGGGACCCGCACAGCCTGTGAAACTGGTGGGAGTGATTTGATGTCATCTCTTTGCCAGTAATCAGATTCTTTTTCAAAACTTTCCAAATGCGCCCCGCTGAAACCCTCAGCCACATATACAAAGAGCAGAGGGCGTTTCTACGGCAACAAAGTCTAAGCTACTGACATTGGTGTCTGAGTGCCAGAACAAACATCGCACCTGATGCATTTGTATGATTTTTAATTTGTATTTATTTATTGCCAAATTATAGATAAAAGCTGATGTGGCATTAAATGTATTTGCTCCCCCAAAGGCAATGAATGCTCCACGTCACTGGTTACATGTTGTATGCTATATGGTCTGTATTTCCACACAGCCTGTTACTCACTGCTGAAATTACTATAGAATTTTAAGAATTCTTTATCTGTTTCATAATGAAGGACTCTTTACTCCCCACTGACACAGTATCAAAGGAATACCTGATGCACATTTGGCTGATTGTAAGGCATCGCTTCTTATTCTCTCTGACAACAGCGCCATCCTGTGGTTTGAACCAAGAATTTCCAACGATTATCTCCTGGCCTTGTCATGTTTAAAGAGCACCTTTCAACAGGAATTACAAAAGTAAAGTTACATCTAATGACATTAAGCTTGCTTCCCATCATGTTCTCTGCACTGAGATCTACTGAATCCAAACTCCATTGTTTGGATTTCATATGGACTTGTTTTTCATCTTAGTGTGGCAGCACCTGCCCAGTGCACATGCATCAGTAGTCGCACACTAGCAAACCTCCTTTTGAAATGATTCATTTAAAAATGGAGAAATATAGCCTGCACTGAAGCATCTTATTTCTCTAAATGTGTTTTCCTAAAGTTCTATGACTCACACGGCATTAAGACTAACTAATGAGTCGGTGACAAGAAATCCAGGGTACATGTTTCACAGGTAAAATATGTATCTATCATTTTAAAAAATGTTAAAAAAAAAAAAACCCCATCAGTTTTGATCATTTTATTACACTACACGATCCTAAAATCTTAAACTAATTTCTAAAGTCTTACATAATCTGGCCCCTAAGGCGCTCAGTGATCTTGTGGTTCCTCTTAAAAGCTTTGGATTCAGTAACGAATGGAGCACCTAATGGAAACTGCAAGATTGCATTATACAAATCCTCATTTGGACAGATAGCATTTTCTATTTAGGGAATTGGCTTGATACAGGACCCTGACTGGGATCCTTTTTTAAAATTAAACTTCTTGAAAGAGGAATCTGTCATGCAGTCATGAATAATCTCCTGTATCTTGTTTTATGCTACTTCACTATACTGTTTGTCCCCTGTGCTGCCCTATGCAGTATTTATTTTGCAGATTGTAGATCTTATTTAGTTTTGTCTGTATGTGTTTTGAGGACAGGGATTACAAACTAGATTAAACCCACAACATGTGTCATTTAAATCAGCTTTCTTCCCCATTTTGATGCTCAGATTGAAATTCAGCAGGTTTTCTTGTCCACGTTCACATGTCTACATGCGATAGATATTTACATTAACAAGAAGTTGGACAGGTGTAACTAATAAAGTGGCAAGTGAGTGTATATTTTCAGTATATTTTCTTTCTAGTCTTCACTGTTTAAAATGGAAAAAAAAGAGTGCTTTATGTCTGGAAATATTTGATAAATAATATAGGCCATTTACCTTAATAAAAAACAAAAAATTGGACTGCAGCTAACTTTTTTTTTCAATAAATAATTAATTATTTCCATGAATCAATTAATCTTCTTTTTTTTTTGTCCATAAAGTCTCAGAAAATATTGTCATTTTTATCTCGGATATGTAAAAGCCTTTCACAACAAAAAGCTTGAGGCATTCAATGTTGCATGATAAACGAAAGTCATTTCATAAATGTTATTCTTCTTTTTTTTTATTAAGAATAAAAAATAAAATAATAATTTAAATAACAATAAAAAAATTATAAAGAACTAACACTGAATAAATTTCGAATGAACCTACATTATAGTGTGTTTATTTTCTATGTTAAATAATGGATATATTTGAGTTTAGTGTTTTGGTTGTCATTTTTACGAGGTGACGTGAAACACATCATAAGCATCGGTGCTGCTCAGAGCTCTCTCCTCTCATCCTTTTGTGCCCGCTGTCCAATGAGCGATCAGATACGGATTGCCGTCTGCTCATTGGTCGCGAAGGAGGAAGATGCGGCGGCCATGGAGAATAGATTAAGGACTTTTCAAACCGTCCTGCTGGTGTGATTGATATTCGGTGATTTCAAGCCCGGGCACATCGCGCTATGTAGCGTAATCTCACTGTGTTGGTACCGAAGTCTCGTTGCTTGGCTTCGGTGGTTTTTTGGCCACATATACTTGTAGTTTATTCCTTTGGTTTTGTGTTGTTTGTTCTGTTTGGTCGTTTGATATGATGTCGGGCCCGTTGTGCTGCTTTGAGTGAAGTCCCTCCCTCCCTACACAATGTAGCGCCGAGTTCTTCCAACAGATACGTCATCACTGAAGGTAAGGAAATACTGAGAACCGGACTTAAACGGAACGAAATCCTGTCACGTGTTTTTGTGGTAGACGGACTTCACCTGGTTCTTGACTTGAGGACTTGAAGGCCTGCTTTATGGCCGGATTACCAAAGGACCGAATAGCTGTGCAAATGAATGACACGCAGGATTGTTCAGGCTTAAGACAGAGAACACTGACACACGTGCCTCCCTGCGCAGGTACAGATATTTAATGGTTGAATTGACTTATTAAAACAACACATGGTATCCTTATTGCCTCTTTTCGTGTCGTTTGTAAAGTAGCACTATCATAATATCACAAGACCTTTCAAGCAACCCTGCATTACACAATGAGTTGCAAAAGTACACACTGTGGTGTGTGTGGGTGAACCACTGAGAGTAAATGTACAGCTGCTCTTCTTGTAGGTGTTGCTGTGTGAACAATGCGTGAGCGATGTCTGATGTTGAGGCCACATACGCAGACTTCATCGCTTCTGGCAGGACGGGCCGGAGGAACGCCCTGCATGACATCCTGCAGAGTCCCACCGACCCTGAGGGAAGAGAGATGCCCCTCACCCTGTCTCTGTCCCAGCTGCACATCAACGCAGGAGGAGGAGGTAATACGCTACACTGATTTGTTTTGGGGTGTACCACCCCTGGGATCGGAATCAGAATTTAACTGTCTGGTCGCACAAAATCCTGTACATAAATTCCACTCTGTTTTATTTATATAGGGCCAAATTACAACAAGGTAAAGATGCTACTGTACTACTACTGTAATCAAACAATCCTCTGTGAGCAAACACTTGGCGACAGTGAGAAGAAAGAAGTTCTTTTAAACAGGAAGAGACCTGGCAGAATCAGGTTCAGGGAGGAGAAGCCATCTACCATCTACGCAGGAGTTTGAGATGGTTATCAGAATGATTTTTATTTGGCCTAGTTTGTGCACATAAACAAGGAATTTGACTCTGGTTCACTTTAGTCTCTGTATCCAAAAAAGTTTTTAAATAGGCAATAGATAAATAGGCATATATCTATATATACAAGGACAACATACATATGAGGACATGATTAAAAAAAGTAAGGAAAATAGAAGTTACAGAACATCTTAAGAACTTATACAAACTATAACAAATTTAACACCTTTCAATTTCAACGGAAAGCTGAAAAGTAATGCTGCCTTAACACATCTAAAGCCATGCACCATCCCGAGGAAGTCCAGAGGATCTGAAAAGGTAATGCTTAGTCTTCACTGTGAAAATGAGAGCCAAACTTCTGAGGTGGTCTGTACCAAATAGCAAACCATAATAGTGATCAGATAAATGCTTCAAAAGGATACAACAACACACACAGTGAGGAGGTCCAGTCTAAGGACTCAGAGCAGTGGACGTGTCCTAGCAGGCAGCGATCAGCTGCAGCTGCCTGTGTTGGGGCACAATGCCCCTAACTCAGTTATGCAGGTGGATGAGTTATAAAATATGGGAAAACTACACATGGAGATCAAAGCCATCTTTGAGTGTACTCACTTTTAGAGTCAACCTCATCTAGTGCCACCTGGAGGAACTGCAGTTTTTGCCACTCCCTTGTTGGCTTCATTTTTCAGCTCTGGAGGGTGCTCCTTGCACCGACCTACACTAAAAACTTTAAAATCATTATTTTTGTACTTTAACTAACCCAAACAAAGGTAGAAATGAGCCCTGCTATACTTCCTACCACCAGGAGAAGTAATTATCTTTTGGTTATATAAAGAGGGCGAGGACAAATGAAGTGGTTGTTCCAGTTGAAGAACACATCTAGCAGAAGAGATAAGTTAGTGCAAACAGTGGATGTTATGGTGTATTTTACTCTTTTTTTTTTCTTTTTTTTTTAAAAGCAATAATTACACAGCTGATAGCATCCAGAAAGTTTTTAATGTGGTGTTCTAACCTGCTTTCTTTTTTTTTCTTTCTTTTTTTTGTAGATGGAGACGACATTGAGGACAGCCAGAGCTCCTCCTCTTCGGCTCAGAGGGAGGCGGAGCAGAGGAACAGCTAACCTGCAGCACACTCCAGCCCGCAGACAGAGATTTGCAGGATGGAGTGAGGCTCCCACCATGATGAACCTGTTTGTCCAAAGTGGGCTGGTGGCTGGAGGGTAGTACCGTCACTGCTGATATGCCTTCAAGCAGGGCACAGTCTTCCAAATTCAACTCGAGAAGTGCTGTAATGTGAACACCCAGTGTGGCTCTGCTGTGCACTAGAATAACAGATTGATTGCAGGGTGCTTTTCAGAATCGGGGGTAAGCAGAGAGGCCAATTTGTAGCTCTTGTAAAGCTAATTTTATTTTCAGTCTTAGTTACTAAACAATATAGGTTGGGGGACTGAAATACAGGAAGAAAATAGACGTGGCTCCTTTGTGAGTTTTATAGTAGTTGAAGCAATTTGTAAGACCACTGACATGTGCTGAAGTAATGGCTCACAGTGGGAGTAGCATGTCTGTAGAAGTAGTGGTGCTGATAGATTGTACTGCCAGTTAATGGCTTTATGCTAACGCTAAGTTGATAATATTGCAGAGGAAAATGGATTGGGCTGAAGTAAACCTGAGAGGACAATGCTGCGGTTTGACTTCTTGTTTATATGCTGAAGGGTGTGTTCACTGTTCTGTACTGTAGAAAGCAGCAGGATGCAACAGAGCAGTAGCCTTGTGGTCTGTTGACACCAATATTACTTAATATTGCACTTTCACTCAGTTTAAATGTCAGTCGCTCAGTGATTAAAGATTGATGATATACATGTTTAAAAAAAATGTTTATACTTAAAGGGGTTTTTTTTTGTTTTTTTTAACAATTTCATTATCACGACCTGTGAGGAATGGTTTGACATTTTTGTAAATGCATTTCTTCACTTAATGAAATGATAAAATGTCTATGTGCTATATATAATGCATGTAGCTAGAGTTTGTCTTAATAGCCACCAGGGGGCAATAGATGTGGTTGCAAGATCTCAATCTGATGTCTCTGTGCTGTGTTTTATGTACATCATAATAATATTGTTGGTCCAGGATTAACATAGGAACTGAGCATTCAGTTAGCACTTGCTAAGAAGCTAGTGAATGCTGTTAAAAACTGTCACTAGTAAACCACGAGTCATTTGGCTAACAGCAAACCTAACTTGATAATACAGTTATTATTATTATTATTTAATATATGGTATTAAATAATAAGTAAAGCACTTGAAATTTTTACCATTTGATCCAAAAGTTGTTTTTTTCTTGACATTGTAAAGCTATGACATCACAAGAACATGACTGGTCAGTTGCAATGTTGATCCCAGATGATGCAGGAACAACACCGACACGAAGTTATGACATACCCCTGTTCCAAGACGATTTCTAGTCCTATTGAGGTCTTTAGTGGAAAATGACCCCCAGACATGGCCTCTAAAAACTTTCCTGCTGTGTTTATGGGCTCAGCCCCTCATATCAGGTCATACCAGATAAAACACTGAGTCAGTTTTGTAAATTATGGTCATTTTAAGTCTCGGAAGGATTATTAGGATCTACTCATTGACTAATAACTCGTTAACCACTGAGTGTTTGCTTTCACACTGACATCCAATCCTCTCTCTTAACCTCCAGTTTCAAAAGACCAAGACAATGATGACAGAAATGCTTAAAGTAGGAATTCAGACACATATGGGTGATGTTGTCTGGTCTATGGTTAGCGCTGAGGTGGCCTGCAGATGGACATATTGGCTAATATGAAGTAAACAAATGAATTAGATAACAGAAACGTCCTTACAGGTTACAATTAAAAGATTAGCATAAAAAAAATTCACCCAAATCTTACATTTTGCTAATTGTCAGATATGCACACAGGTCACTGATAAAACCTGTTGCATTTGAATCATGTTAAAATAGTATAATGTAATATCATATATGGCATTGATGAGCTGTTTTGTCACATAATGTTGCTTGGATCAGAGCTGTTGGCTTCACATTATAATACACTGGCCCCACATTACCTTCACTTTTTAGCGTGCAGGGGGATGAGAGGTGACGTGACCTCCAGGGAGTGCGTAACCAACTCTATGAGATAATTAAGGATTCTAAAAATCATAAATCTTGCAACACTACTCTAGTGTACCAGTGAGCTGCAAATTAGCATAATAAGCACTCTTTATACTTGACAGCTAAGCTAATTATCTGCAGGCTCCAGCTACATTGTTAAGAGATTGATCTTGTCATCTGTCATCAGTTCACTAAGAAAGTGCATTGCCCAAAATGTCAAACTGTTCCTTAAATGTAGATATGCAATACACCGTGGAGCTTCCAGGATTTATAACATTGTTTGTTTGTTTGTTTTCTGACACTGAGCCTGAGCTATGTTCCTGCTACTGTGTGTAATAGCTAGCTGATGTTATCATCTGTACAGACCACCACGCATGCACAAAACTCTGTGTTGTCATTTTCTTCACCATTTTTGCGAACTATAACCTTCCTGTAATCCTCCAGCTTGACAGTAAGTCAATCATACTGAAGATAATGTAGCTATAAATGTTTATTTTGTAATCCTCACTCAATCAGGTGTTTAGATTGTAAACTGCCATGTAACTGTTTCGGGGCTCACTCTGGTTTCAAAGTAGACTGTGTAAATGCAGCTGTTCAGCATGTTGGATTTTGGCAGGTGCATGATTCTGTGAAATTTGTAGCTGTTTGTCTGAATGTGCATAACCGTATTTTCTACTCTCCGTGTCAAACAAAGTGAAATAAACTGGACAAGAGGGAAAATGCAAGTCTTCTGTGCTGCTGTACGCCTGCGGTTTGACCAGCAGGTAGCACTGTGGGAGAATTTATGAAACGTGCATTAGACTTCAACTGTGAACAACTAATGTATATATATATGTGTATAGAATGACTTATTTAATTATTGTTTTTTCTAAAAAGGACATGAGAGGAATTTAAAAAAAATATTTTTTAAGAGGATTACATTAAATTAAAGGGATTCTATGACACACTGGAAAATTCTCCTCCGCTTCAGGTTAAACGTATAGTATTTCCATATGTGTAGCACTGAAAGGCCATCTGTCTGCTGTGTCTTTCAGTCTCTTTCACTCTGTGTGTGTGTGTGTGTGTGTGTGTGTGTGTGTGTGTGCAGTGCTGATTATGCAAATAATCATTAGACAATTGTACCAGGAAGTTTCACTAAGAAAGAAAAATCCCCAACCAGTTCCTCATTCACTCATTGGTATAACAGTCCAGGTCGGCCAGCTGACCCACTTGTCAAACCACCTCAACACCAACGCACTGCATGTGTCACCCACTTCCATGTCAAGCACAGAGAGGACGTAGCTGAGGAGTGAAACGGTTCTACATTTTGGATTAACCGTTTTCTTAACCAAGGATACAGACTGAGACAGGTAAGCTGTAATGTCCAAGTGACATCAGGCAGACGCATGTTTGGTTTACACAGACGCATTAGGAGAGGTAAAAGTGTATAACTTTTTTTTATTAGTAGGAAAAAAGTAAATGTAAGAAGTTTTATTAAATAGATTTTTTTTTGTTCTGTGTTTTTGTGGACGCTTTATTCATTAAGCACAATCATAACTCACATTAAGTATAATTAGTTTAAGGAAAATTCTCTACAGTGCAACATGTTTAAAATCAGTGCTTTATTTTCTATTATAAAAGTTTTATTCCTATGGTTTCATGTATGGTATAGCGATGGATTAAACATTAAAATTCACTGCATTTATTGACGTATCCAGACTTTTCCTCAGTCTATTGCAAAAGGAGGAAGTGTGTGTCTGTGTGTGTGTGTGTGTCATAGTCCAATATATCATGCGTGTGTGCCCTTAAGCCTTTCAGACCCCTAGTTTCCGGCTGTTTGCTGACAAGTTAAAAATATAACAGAGGCACTGAACCAACAAAGTGCAAAACAAGCCTGTGCAAACCTGCCAAACCGCTGGCTAATGCATTCACTGACCTTTTTCTACCAAGAAAAATATGGTTTTACCATTTTCTTTACATTTACTCCCTGCCATCTCAGTTCACAAATGTGTTGTAGGTTGGTTTTCAGGTGTGCTTGTCTTGTATTTGCATTAGGTTAATGGTGTGTCCCCCCCCTACTCAAATAACTCAATTCAGGCCAGCTAGGTCCAGCAACTTTATTCAGCACTCAGTCTTTCCACATGAATATAAGATATTAACTATTTTTAACGTTATATGGTAGGATAGCTGTGCTTTGCTATCACCGGCAGCCTAGAAGCAACAGAAGTAAATGCTTTTGGCATGCAGAATGCAAGGTTTTGGTGTTGGTAAAGAAAAACTTTGGTATCAGATCAAATATTTCCAGATGAACCCTATTGTTGGGATTTGTCATATTTTCTTCCCTAAAATGTACTACCTTACTATTACTGATAATAATGTTATCAAGTCAAAATTTCATTTAAGCTGTTTGGCTTGGTCAAAAACCTAATATGCCTCAATATAATAACCTAATAATATTTCTGCCAGCCTAAGCAGTGCTTTCTCCAATTAGCATACGTACATTAGCATTAGCAAAATCAACATGTTAGCGCCAGTATGAAGAGCATGTTAGCTAGCACTAAAAAAACAAAAAACAAACAAAAAAAAACCAAAACAACCCACGCTAATTCATTTTTTGTGGGGGTTTTCTTTCTTGTTTTGTCCTGTTTTATTTTCTGACTTCCCTAACACAATTCATCAAAGAATATCTCATCTCCTTAGAACTTCTGTTCTAGCTTTTTAAAAATTTTAAAAGGCTATTTGCTGACCTACAGGACTAGTTGAACATGTTCCCCTTTTCTCTGCAGTTCAGCTGTGCACTTTAGTTTCCTGGAGAAGGACAGAAGCTTTTTATTTATTTATTTTTCCGTTGTACTTTGAATAACAGATGTTAAAAACCAACGTGCACTTCTGCTCTACAGCAACATGTTTTGTTCTTTTTTTCCCCTTTTTTTTCCCTGTAGGGAAGCACTCAAAGTTTATTTGACCTGGTTTAATTTTAGTGCTTTATATGTTTGTGCTTTTAAGCCATATTGCTTGACAATCTAAGTATAAATGGTTTTAAAGGTGGTGTTTCTCACGCTCATAGGAAGTTTAGTTTTAATTTAGACAGTTACTCATATATAAAAATCCTTTTTATGTTCACACATTACCTTTGTAAAATATTTTCATTGTTAAACTCAAGGTACAAATATCACTTTGTTTGTCCTTAAAACTACAATATAGGAGATACATACTTTTAATGTTTTTGACTTTTATACATTTTAAAACTTATAACACCTCTCTCTCATAAAAACCAACATCACCAGTTAAAAAGATGTTGTTTTTTCTTTGCGACTTTGTCATCTTTGTGGGCATGTGGTCAGTATGTGTGCATGTAGAAAGCAAGTGCACATTGGTGGCGGTGGGCTTCATGCTGGTTAGCTACCCACACAAAAGTCAAAAGAAGAAAAAATAATGCAGCAAACTGCAGCAATACATGTTTGATTTCCCTGAACAGAAACCACCATTGGATAAATTGCAGCCATGTCAGAATACAGGGAAGCAGCAGTGACATTGTGACATATTTTTTTCTAAAGAACTACTTTGAGACATTCACATTTTTATTGAATTTTCGTTGAGTTACAGCAGTAACTCAACAAAGTTACTCAACTCAACAAACGTAGAACTTTTCACCTGAAATATTAGAGTTTGTGTAAGAAGTGCCATGGCTAATGACATTTAGACTACTGGAAACATTGGTTACCATGGTGTTGCTGAAAGTTAGATTAAAAGACTGTTACCAGTTGTAATCTTGTTAAATATATAGCTGAATCCAGCAAGTCATTAGTCTAGCTTAGCATAAGCTTTAATGGTGAATAATGGCTCTGCCAGAAGCTTGAAGGTGGCATTCAAAGCTCACAAATGAAGATATGCATTTTGGACCTATATGTATTTTAAACCCACCCAGGTCTGATATAAATGATACAAAGCGTGTGCTCAGTCCACAACCTGTGCATGTAAAACCTCATCAGGTCTTGTAAGACGCTAATGCTATGGATATAGAGGCAGAAGTAGCAGAATGTCTCATTCAAGTCTATTTTGGCTACACTGCATCATCAAATCCTCCCTGTTCTGCTTCTCGTTTTTACTGAAAGCTCTTTTCCTGAAAGTGGCAAAGACAGCAGCAGCTTACTTGGTCACTGAAACATCCCTAAAAACAGAGCAAGAAATTAAAACGCATTGTAGACAGAACAGTCTGTGTTTTGAGCAAAATGGTGGAAAAAAACACCCATCGTACTGGACATACTTCCCCATATAAATATGATAAAAGTTGGGTTTTTTGTTTACACCTTTTGATGTATGATTGAAAGAGTATTACTCAGCAATGCCTTTGCACCCCTATTATGTTAACAATCCAGTTAGAGGTCGACATCATTATTTTTATATATCTGGTGCTAAGTGGTGCTGCACCTTTCCTGTGACATTCCCATAAGATGTAAATCAGAGTGCAGTATAAAAGTCAGTACAGTCAGTGGTGTGGTGCGGCTGCGAGGGAGGCAGCTGGACAGCATGAGCAATCACGCCACATTCACTTATAGGTCCTGATGTGGTTGGTGTTAGTGTGTTTGACTGCAAACTGCAAAGCTGCAGCCACGTGCAAGGACAGCAACGGTGATAATAAAGATGCTGAAAAGCATGGAACCGATGACAGGTCTGCCGTGGAGTTATTACAGTTACATTTGCACATGTGCAGCAGTTTGTTTTTGTGAAACAACTTATTATTCTCACTTCTTGTTATCTTCCCCTTTATGTTGAACTTATAA